TTAAAATATCGAAAAATATACAGCGCGCGAATTTTAAATGAGAATTTCCGAAAACCTTTCGGTCACAATGTACACTAAGAACTCACCTTTCTTTGTAACTGATAAATATAAGGCACTCAACGAAATGGTGACCAAAGAACAACAACGCTTACCTGACCTGTGTACTTCAGAAGGTTATGTGCATAAAAGAACAGATTTTCGAAGTGGCGACCCACTACAAGAGGATAGCACTTGGAAATTATGGGTTCCATCTGAATTGCGATGGTCATTAGCAGAACGAGTACACGTATCACCATCATCTGGACACGGAGGGATGCAAAAGACCTTGGCAAAATTAAAGGTAAAATATTTCTAGCCAGGAATGGTTGGTGACGTTCAAACATTGATAAAAGAATGCGAGATTTGTAATACTTCTAAGGTGTCATATAGAATGAGAAAACCACTCATGGGAATGCAAACGATAACCGAAAAACCGTTCCAACGTCTGTATGTGGATTTCATGGGACCTTACCCTGGGACTAACACAGGTAATACGGTGATTTTTGTAGGGCTAGACCACTTCTCAAAATACGTATTTCTCAAACTGATGCGTTCAGCTACAGTCCAGAATATGATAAAGTATCTTGAGGCTGATGTCTTTCACACATTTGGTGTACCAGAAATAATGCATTCCGATAACGGGAAACAATTTATTTCAGAAGCCTTTAAGTCATTCTTGCAAAAATATGGAGTGAAACACATCCGAACTGGATTTTATTCTCCCCAAGCCAATGCTGCCGAACGAGTAAATCAGTCAGTACTTCAGATCGTTCGTTCTTATATACAAGAACACCAATGTAATTGGGATCAGTATGTAAGTGAGGCAGCATTTGCACTCAGAAGTGTGAAACACAGCTCGATAGGTATGGAACCATAAATGGCAGTGTTTGGGTCACATATGATTCAGCATGGCGCAGCATATGAGATAATGAGGAAGCTGAGCTCCATTAAACAATCCGAATTTGAAATATTAGAAGCGACAGACAAACAACTATTGATGCGAGAGAAACTGACAGCAGAATTGAAAGCAGCTCACCAGAGATCTGGAAGAGTGTATAATCAACGAAAAAAGGAAATTCAGTTTAGAGCGGGGCAATTAGTGTATAGACGCAACTTCAGACAAAGTAAAAGAACTGATGGTTATAACGCGAAGTTAGGAAAGAAAAACGTGAAGTGCGTGATTTTAAAGGCAATAGTTTCTTCGCTATACGATTTAGGAAACATGAATGGGGTTAGCATCGGGGTATACCACGCGAAGGACATCTTTTGTCAGTAAGGAGTAGAAATCGGATCATAACAATTATGGTAAATGTCTGGCTAGATCAGTCGGTAAAGGATGAAACTCTGTAACTGAAGGTATGGGTCGAGGCCACACGTTGTACAAGCAAACAACAGTCTACCAGTCTATTTTTTTTTACGAGCCCGTTCCATATTACCATATATAGAGATATAACATCGACGATATCGAGCCTGTAATGGTAGCCTATAGGTATGTTAGAAAAAATATTTAAAGAAAGAAAATTTTTTTTAATAAACTAAACTAAATATAATATATTATACGTAACAAATGTATTGACACAAGCGCATACCAAACACAGCAAATACTCACCTCGATTGGAGTTAAGCAAAGAGAAAGAGGGTGGTGACCTCGTATAGAAAAAAGTTGAGTATATACCGTAAGAGAAAAGAGGAGCATGGCAACGTACAGCAAGCAAATCTAACTGAAGTGTTAATTGCTGAAAGTACAGCAAAAACGGATCCGAAGAATAACAGATAGCAGCTGTTAAGACAATTTGGAATATATAGAGCAACTCAACAAAATTGCGAGGAAATTTGAACTATCACTTAGCTGCGAAGGTTTTGGAAAAAAAAGTTGTGATGCAAAGTATTTTTGAATTTTGTTTGTGAAACTTTGAAAAGTTGAAATTATTTTTATGATTGCAAATTTTAAATACACAATTAAATCAATAAACCCAGGACTTATAAAGAACACTTTGTTCCCTGGTAAAATTAGTGCAAATTAAATAAACACACAATTAGATCAATAAACCCAGGACTTATAAAGAACACTTTGTTCCCTGGTAAAATTAGTGCAAATTAAATAAACACACAATCGAATCCATAAACCCAGGACTTATAAAGAACACTTTGTTCCCTGGCATAATTAGTGCAAATTAAATAAACACACAATCTAATCGATAAACCTTGACTTTGGAAAGACATTTTTCGGCTAACTCAGCTAAAACAGCAGGAAAGCCACCAGTCGTCTGTGCAGCAGAGATTACACCTTGACATCAGCAACTGTTCGCTTGAGCAGCATCAGCTACCATCATCAGTCGCCAGAATCATGAAAACCACATCACAGCAGATTATCACCCCATCATCTATAATATCATCATCACCGAAGAATTCACAGATAAGTCACCTTTATTAATATAATTACAGCCCAATGCATTAACTTGAAGATTACGGTGGCAAAAGACATGATCGCATAGACGTTTATGGACTGCGCGTGTGTTACCGTAAATAGTACCTTCAAAGGTTAAATAAGATCAGAATTCCTGTACACCTCGTAATGAACCCGTTGATTTTGGTGTATTTTGCTTTGCGATTACGTATAATTATTTTTTTTAAATGAATTATATACATTTATTTTTTTTTTATTACACATATCTATTTATTTATAAAAATTATTAAATTAGTTTGATTTAGTAAATTATATATATATTTCGTTATTATGCAATGTAATTAAACGAAAAAAAAAACAAAAAAATTTTTGTTAATATATATCCAAATTAAATTTAAGATAAAATAAATTTAATATATAGACCGAAATTAAGAGAAAGAATTAAGTAAGGGGATATATTTTTTTCGTGTGTTGTAATATAAACTTTAAGGTTCGTCGCCAGTTGACGTCAACAGCAGAGAGACCAGTAGAAAAAAAAAGCTGAAATTAAAGAGAAAGCAACTTCAGTAATATCAAAAGAAAAAGACCGTACGATAAACCTTCTCTTAATTTGGGTATACATAAATACGAATGTTTTGTTAATGTGTTAACATTTAACTAGTAGAATTATTAATTATTATAAAGGTTTGAATTACATGAAATTTTAGATATTTTAAATACAAACAAAAGATAGAAAAAAAAATTGTATTAAACTTAAGTGAAATCAAGAAAAAAGAATAAGTTTAAAGAAAAAAAAAACCAAGAAGTCATGTTATGTTAGTTTTAAGTTAAGTTAGTTTTAAGATTGGAATAAAGAAAAAAAAATAAAAGTTGGAAAACTCAAATAATAATGCAGGCTTAGGATTTATTTATTTGGCGGTGGTGGAAGTACCTAGGGAAAAATAGAATGCATGTAAGTTGAAGAGTGGTTTCCTTCCAAATCCAATAGGTGACATGAATTTTTTTGTTGTAGTCCGTGGATGTTAATGAACGTGAAAAAAAACCACCCCCCAAAGTCGGCGAGCATACCGGGCTGGCCACCATGTCACCACCTTCACGTTCACAGCCTATTTACTTCGCCCACCGAAAACCGGACACAACAAATTGCGCCAAACGAGACACTAATACGAAGACAGGACCGAAATAAAAGACGTAATAAATAACAAAATAATAATATTATAGATATATCTATACAATCTATAATAATGTAATAGACCAGTAGCAAGGCGTCAGCTTTTTGGCAAGGTGTTCACAATTTGATCAAAACAGAATTCCAACTATAACGTATTCCCCCTATTCCTGAGTTTTGTCCTTAAACCAATAAAACAATTTATTTAAATGTTCGCAGCCAGTGATCCACTGATTTTTATGATAAATAGCTGTAGGAAAACGGCGACTTACCACACATTTCGACATTTTTACATCAGGTACCAAATTCTTCATTTCTGGAGTTGGTCTATTCATTTTATGAATTAAAACTTTTTTTTCAGAAGATTAAAAAAAGATATTTGAATCAAATCTTTAATCACACATTAATTCATTTCTAAATATTATTTTTCACTTCAA